CAGGTACGGTTCCTCGCTCTCGCGTTGTCTGTCGACTGGCGCGGTTGGCTCGTGGATGCTTTATTGTAGCACCGAATATGTTGTGATGGCTGGAGCAGGAGGTGTACCAAAGGAAAGCGCCGAGGACGTCGCTCAAAAGAAGAGAGAGGCAGTGTAATGGTTTGTTTATGCGACTATCTGACGTTTGGCGGTCACTTTAGGACTTGTCTGGGCCCTGTACACGTGGGCTGGCCTTCGGGCCACACTCAGGTCCCATTTCTCCTATTACTTTCGGAATACATGCATTCAACCCCACTTATGCCTTCTACTACCCCATTGGAAGCCTCGGAACGCTACAGAGTGTACATAAGAGATGTTACCTAAGTAGAACATATAACTAGCACGCAGAACGAAATAAGGTTAGCTGCCCTAGACCGGAAATTAAACTACCCCTTCTTGGTCATTTGGACATGCAGGTCACAGACGGCAAAACATCACGTTACTTGCTTTTTTGCACTGCTTATTATTAATTTGTTGTGTTTTGCATAGCATACTTTATTAATAGTTGTTATGCATACTGCCAGCCCACATATTTGGTGTTCCTTCTCAAGGTCGTAAAGATTGTAAGTGCCGCCCCATTTCGTAGAGTTGTGTATAGTGGCGTCGCTCGTGTTCTGTGTTGGCGTTTGGCAGACAGATTTCGAAATGAATCTTACTGCTTTTTACCCAAAGAGCTAATTAATGTAGAAGCTTTAATAATGCTTTCGGCTTCGTTTCCGTGAAATCTGGTGTTCGACAATGAACAGTGAATGCAGAAATATTGTTGTCTTTGTTCTCATCGTTAAGTTGTTGATTACAATATTTTTTGTAAGAGTCAGGTTTTTAATTGTTTGTCGACTTGTAGATTGCCTCAAGCCTCCTTCCAAATCATAGAGCTGATGCATTCGATCCACCAGAAGATTCTTGTACATCCGTGATTGATTGCTTTCTTCGATGGTTATTGGACGGATTTCACAAGTGGGATGCCATCTACTTTCACTTTATATCTATGAACGGTTATCTCTATGAGAACACTCTTGTATTTTTTCCTCTGTTTCCCATAGTTCTGAGGTTCGTTTCTGATTTACTCTACGCCTTCGTACCCTTGTGCAGTTTTTGGACGCATTCCATCCTCATTGGTGTATTTTTATGTTTTCTTTGTAATCTTTTGTCGGCCATCCAAATGTATCGCCTTTCTAAGCTCGTATTGATGAATAACTCTTTGTCCCTTGTTTCTGCCCTTCTATTTGTGATCAATCCCGCCTCAGTTTTCTTCACTACATTGTATTCCGAGGCTTTGTACAGTTTTCTCTTCTTATCGGCTCTCATCTGGATTCATGAACGTAATTATACGGCCGGATGTCTAATTCTTTCCATGACCGTGTGCTGCCGTAGCAATGGATTAGTGAACTGTGGATTTCCATGCTTTTTTCGTTTCATTTGCTTTGTAAAGGAGGTGAAATCTCTTTACAAGAAAGGTCGTGGTGGTTTCCTTCAACATTTGTGTTCGCCTCTTCCTTCAATCACGGCTGCCGCGTTCAATTTTTTTCTTGCACTTTCAGTGATGATCCTTTGTGTTATCTCCCCATACTTGATGTATCAATGCTACGCTGGATTTCTCTACTGTTACGCATTTCCCAAATCTTCGTCATTCACTTTTTTGCTGCCAAGAGCGCCGAATTCTGAATTGTATAAACTGGCTGATGAGCTTGGTGTTCTAACTCCATATTCAGTTAACTCGTCATTTCATCCTGATTGGTGCGCTGGTGTGCCCTGGTCTTCGTACATGCTACTTCAAAAAAGATTTTGGGGCGTCGACACCCTTGCTTATTATCGGTGGAAACAAGTGCCAAACTTCCTCCTAGCTCTTCCAGTTCTCTTCCTAGTGTTCAAGACGGTTAGCTTATTTGGGCAGAAGGCCGCAAAGACACTGTTTTCTTTTGGAATTTTCGAAGATTCCATAAAGCAGCGACTTTTACTTCCGTATGTTTATCATGCCCTTTTCCTTTCTGCATACGGAATTGTCAATGTTCATATTCAGGTGAGTTAGTTTTCTCTCTAAAATCCTTTTTATTCTGTTGTTCAGGGTTTATGTAAGTGCTAAAGTCAATGTGGTAAATCATGCTTCTTGCTCATTTGATGGATTTAAATTTGACTTTGATGTATGATGTCTTTCACACCAAAATTAAGTTTTATGTAACATTTGTTTGCCATTTACGAAACCTCCAAAATTCTTGTTGTTGAGTGAAAGTACTTGCATTTAGGTTCTCACACGCATGCTCTTTTCGTCATGTCCAGTGCTGTACTGGTACTGCGCCTCCGTGTTATTGAATGAACAGGATAATTTATTCGGGCGGCCACGTCTACGTAAAGCCAAAATTAAAGCAAACTTGATGTTCCATCAGCCAAAAAACTTGTTTCACCTTGTAAATCCGCTGCGTTATCCACCTTGGTCATCCCAGCGGATGCTGTTGTATTACTTTTACTCTTATATTGCTATTGGCTGTATTATGCACTCAAACTTTCTTCCGTGGACTTGAGTAACTCAGTAGACTAATAAACACGTCGACACGCTATCCTTTTTCGCTTCCATATTGTCGACGCACTGTACTGAATTCTGAAGTAGTCACGAGATGACTGTTGAGCAGTATCAGAAGTGAGCGTCTGAATAGAAATTGGATCACAGCCAAGGAAATCCTCCTGATCCTACGTTTATTGTAACGCATAACAACTCCCGAATTCTCCTGTCAGAATAAAGTATCATCTGATGAGGCATAGGATCGGCGTGGGAGGACGTGTTGTGGCATCAGCCTACGCCCGATAGCTGCAGTTCATTGTAAGTGTTCACCATCAGTTGATTGCTAGTTACAAAATCTGACCAGGTGCGTGCGTTCATTACGTCCAGTAGCGTCCTTGGTCTCCAGCTCCTTCAACAACCTCAAGGTAACAGATGATCAGTGCTCCCATTTGGAAAGAAACAATCAAACGACCATACGTCAAACAATAATCTAAGGTGACTGTGAGGGCCTGGTAGACACAAACTATGTGCAAATAAAATATGAGCGTGGGTAGTGTGTTCTATACGCTTCATCTGGACTGCCGACCTTGTGCTGAGTAACAACAAAATGACAAGTGAACGTCTGTCCCTGAATATATGCTGCGGTTGGATACTGCCACGTAATTTATACGTCCTACGTCTAGCCTTTACCAGTAAGTCGTTGGCAGTCAGATGTTTGACACCGGCTCCCGCTCAGGGTGGAAGGTTCGATCCCAGTTTGTAAGGATAGAAATAACAGCTAAAAGTGTAAGAACGATGGACGGAATCTACGCCATCACAACCGTTAGTTCCATTGTACACGGACGTTAGTAGTTGGCCCATTAGACCCCATATTAAGGCGATTTTCACAAAACGAAAGCACACTTGCAGATCACGCAACACTTAATTCACAAGGGGGAGTAATGGCTGCAAAATCAAAATTGCAAAAGAGCTCCTGGGGGCAATTTTCGATAAGTTATACACAATAAAAGACCTTGGACTGGAGAAATAGATTAGAAACTGTCCTGTGAGAGGGATCTAATGGAGGAATTAGGAACGGTGTAATAGATAAAAGGCACTGGTTGTTGCCGTAGTTCAGCAAAATAAGAATGGATTTCGATGCCAGTGGACGCCGTTGAGTGGGTATGTGACAAAAGTCGGCGCTTAAAATCTATGTAACCGGATATAGGGAAGCTGAAATAAAAAAATCACTGACTCAGTCACATTGATCTCGTTCGTGGGATGAGAGCGTCTGTTGAACTATTTCAGTAAAGGTTCCTATAGTTCACATCCATTGTAGCGACCTATTTTATATCGAGTATATTCAAACTACCTGATAAACTCTCATAACTTTGGAGTGTTTAATCAAAAATGACACGGAGGCGAAATATTAAAAAAAAAACAAATTCGACTTACTTAATAAGCGGAGCCCATGGATGTTTACTGACACATCTTACTACTTACGGAGTAAGCTTTAATTGTAAGTTAATTGAACAGATTTTGGGATTTGTTCCATGTGCCTTAAAACTTAATAGAAAATAGGAAAAATCGCGCTGCGAAGAGAAAATAAGGGCATTGATAAATTAAAAATTACAAGTTTATCCCAGAAAAAATGGCGCTCACTCACCCCGCGGCGGCGGTCTAGGGGGTTTTTTGGGCAAGGGAGGCGGAACATCGTCGGAAGGAGAAGAGGGAGCGCCAACAGCAAGATCAGGCTCCGAAGGTAAGGAGCAAGGCGGGCGTCGGGTCCCGATGTGGGAGAAGCGCGATGAGGTGAGGTTAATTTTCCGTGCCAGCAAGGACTCTTCACCCGCAATGTTGTTGAGTTGGGGAAGGTCGGAGGGCCGCTCCGGTAGTGGTGGTGGTGTCTGGGGCACCAAGGAGACAGCAGAACTCTTCCTCGGCTCCTCCGATGGAGGACTCAAAGGGGAGTCTGGTCGTTAATGTAAATAATAAGATGACGTCGGTGCTGCTAAAATGACTAACGGTTGTTTTTAGACCCTAACAATTACTACACACCTACGGGAGAGAAATATCAAACAGGATTGCATTTGGGAAAACTCACCCAAACAGTCGTCATTCAGGAAGTTCAGGTCCTAAAAAAACAGTTTGCATGGCGCCCAATAACATGCAAGCACATTGCGTAGGCATAAAAAACAGACAAAACCGACTTTGTTATTCTTAACATACTGACAAAAGAGCACCTAAAAACAACTACCCAATCAAATGAATGTAAAAATCAAAGCTGTTGTAGTGTTATCCAAAGTCTATTCAAAGGAATTTTCCAATTAATAATATGAGGGGGGAGCTTATATCATATGATTATTGGCAAATTTACACTAATGAACACACGCCGAGCAGCATAAAATTATTTTCCAGCATCAAAATCATCAACCATATGCGAATAAGAGAATAATAGCATGCAACAAAAAAGAGTAGCGAATCGAGATCCTCTCTAACCTGCTGAAAACTTGTACGGGTTCGAATCGACTGAGACGAGCTGGGAATGTCTAGGGCCCTTCGATAGACCCTGTCAGCTAGGTAGGGGCTAGAAGCGCCAGTAAAGAAAGTAAACGAATGGGCCAATTCAAAGCAAAATAATATGGAGAAAAATTGGTAGATGATCCACCAGCTGTGGAGCTAAGCACACGCTAAAATTCACGCCCACATCAAAGCATGCTTAGACTCATTACAGGGAGAAAATTACTAATGGCCAAATATTGCGCTCGTTTATGCAATCAAGGCCTTAGAAAGTAATGCATTAAGGAGTGTAATAAAAAAAACTAAGTTATTTGCTCCTTAGTACAAACGAATGAGAACATTCCGGGTGGCAAATGGCTTGCAAATATCAAGATATGATCGAAGAGAGACAACAAACTTTGTTTGTGCAGCGCTGCTCGTCGAAACAGTGGGTTCTGAACTGCCAAACTGCACTTGCTCCTGTAATTTGGAGACGCTGATTCCAAACTTCATGCTCATTTCGTGTATGAGAGAATAAAACTGCTCTAACATGGTGGGAAGTAGGTTTGATATGGACCCGCCAGCTTCGGAGGAGGCCTCCAACTTACGACAGAGGACGAGACCTTCGGCCTGAACTTCGAGAAGTTGAAGGACGGCATCTGAAAGCTGCTCTGTCTGCCGCTCATCTGATGAATCGTCCACAAGATTTACGCTAGTCTGCATAGATGAATGGAAAATAAATGAAAACCATAACTTCCTGTGCATCAGAATGTAATAAGACGAAATCGAATAAATGTAAGGCCGACCTTCCACCAATAGATTTCATGAATTAAACGCAGTGATTTATGAATGAACTTGCAGGCTGAAATCGGAGGAGGCTTGTTCCTAATGGACAGACTAGTTATTCAGTAAAAGGACACGAGGAAAATTCGTGTGAAAAGCCGTTATTGAGGGATAGAAATAACTCACTAGCAATGCAGTCAGCCCTCCACTGACCGGGGAATGAATGGATGGACTTAGCTTGCCAATGAAATTTGACAGGAGTGTATGTGGATTCGAGCTGGACGTAATTTCTTCAATCATAGAACTTAGCGACCGGGTCATGTCCTGCACCATATTTACTACCAACTCCGCTTTGCTCAGAGTTCGCTGAAAAAAGAATGAGAATAACCAATAATGCGCACCCAAAAAAACAGGAATTTGTTAAATAATGGTGTCGTAATCTTGTATCACAAACGGTATCAAGGTGATGGCTTAGTTTAAAAATATACAAAAATTATAATTTGCCACACAATCCGCCTACAAGGGAATAAGCAAGCACAAATGTATCACAAACAATAAGATAGCGCAACAAAGCTCACGGTGGTAATGTCTTCAACTGGCATAAAGGAAACGATGTTTGGCAGCTTTTCGCTGAGAGTGTAGCGTACTTCTTCTGCAACTGGCATTTCCTTTCCATTTGCCTAAAAAGTAGATTTAGGTATGGATAAATTTAATCCAATTACAAGTTGATAGAGGCGTGAAACATGTATGACGACAGCGCCTGCTGAGGCGGTCCTAACACATTGCTCTTACCAGTAAACAAAAAGTAATAACCTTTTGTAGTGTCAAATTCAACCTCGATAAATAAGTAAAACAACATACACTTTTAGAGGGTTTGAAATGATATATCCGAGTAAACTGACGAACTTGATTCCAATCGTAATAACTAAAAAGGAGAAGTTTGACGAACTTAGCGATAGCACTTAATAAGGTAACGCCAAGATATCTGAATTCTAAGAGCCAGTCAAACGACGTCAAAGCTTCAGTTACTAAAACAAAGCCACATTAATCACGGGAATGCGATGACTGAAAGGGGGGAATTACGCCTTAATGTGCGGAGAAAGGTTCGCAGCCGCTTCACCCGAGGCCCAATTACTGGGCAGCTCGGGAACAGGCTGGAGATTCCCAACCAAGCGTATAGTGGGGACTTCGTCCGTGATCTGGGTTGCTACCGCAGTCAGCGGCTGTGGATTGTACGTTTCCACGTGGTACTCGGGGAACTGTTCACAAAGAGTCATCTTCACTTCATTTAACTGACTGAGCGTGCGATAAACGACGGTTGTTCCAATAAAACCTGGGGAATCTTGTCGGGTGGAGAAGTGTAAAGCGTAGTATTTGTAACAACACTGATTTCCGGCCCCTCCACTGATAAAGTTGGTGTAAAGTTGACTCTGTTCACTCTGAAAGAGGAGTGAACATATGCATCCACCTTGTGCCAAAAGGCGAGAACCTTCTAACATTGACCAATACAGAAAGGAGGAATGGCAAAGCAGGCAGATTAAAGTTAATGAGCTTACGAGAATAGCACTCAGACTGGCAAGGTCAGCAGTTACATCTCGGTAAAAAACAGTCAGCTGGTCACAAACTTCGATAGCGCGTTTCCAGTCTCCACCGGCCTTTAGGTACTTAAGCGCATCCAAGAGAAGAGCCTCCTTCAGGGCGGAGGAGGAGATGTTGCCCAGATCAGCGTATCGACCGGACACCTCACTGATGTCCACTGAGTTTGACGACCACTAAAACACACAAATACCTCTTTGATGTGTCTCAACCCAGGCAGGATTAGCAAATACGTGCTCATATTTGGTCCGTAATGATATGTGCACAATCAGAGCCAATAATTGGCCTGTGACCTGGGATGAAACTGTCATAAAATTCAAACAAGTACTACACATGGTCTATATTTGAACCAAAAATTTCAGTGATATTACAAGATTAAATACCACGGCATCAACGATTCAGGCGATCAGTCAATCCGATTTTTTGCTGTAAACTGTCGTTTATATTGTGAACGCCGAAACCACCGCGATTCGTACTAACGACAAGCCTGAGTACGGTGGTAGATTATGGTGCACACAATGGGACCGAATACCGAGGGGTGTGGGCCGCACTCATCTCGTCTATTTATAGCATTTTGATTTGCTTCAGATTCACGTGGATCACTAACACTTTTGATGTCTATTTGCACGTAATATGGACCAACTTAGAAGAAAGTGTAAACATTCAGGTCCCTCGAGAATGCCAAGGAGATGGATGCAGAATATTTTCTGATGTCTTGGCCAGAACAACATCAGCAATTTCTCGAAAGAATGGAGGAAAAAGCAATGGAACATTACAGTTCAAAATAACTTTTAACAACAAAAAAATTAATGACAACTCACGCTATACTGCCCACTAATTCGCTCAAGCGTATAGCCTCTCTCTATATCATTTTCGGACTGTTCATGCAGCTCTTCCAGTTTGAAAAGATATCGAATCGTCATATCCTTTCTTTTGATAGAGTCATAATACGTCTAGAAGGAAAGGCGCGGCTTTAAAAAACTTTAAAAGAATAGGGATTCGGCAAGTGTGCGGACAAATGTTTGAGCTGATGACGCGAATTTCTAAAAATTTTGCCAATAACCTAATCAAAAATACTTGCAGTTAAAAGATGCAGACGGGTAGTTAAGGCACAGCGTGTAAGAGTAACAAACACTACCAAGCACATGCCAGAATAGGTTGAAACAATCTTCCTACTAAAATATGCTACCAATTAGCAATCAATCTGATGACTTGAATAGACGGAAAAACGAAACAGTAAATGTCTCAAGCAAGCCTTGAATTAGGCCATGAAAAATGATATTGAAAGTGATCCGTATCTAGAAATTCGAATGGATTACCCTCAAATTATTTATTGCAAGCATTCCACTAAGCTTTGATCGCCTAGTGATGACATCACTGTATTCTCGAAGATAGTTTATTTGGCGGATCATATCACTCAGGATACGAGTCCTCGATTTCTCTGCCGTAACTGAGAGGTTCGAAGGTGAGAACTTGACAGGCGCTCCTCTGCGTAATCCGATCGAAACTCGGCGACCCAGACTTTCTATTGCGCCATCAGGGACTTCCGCCTCAAGAAGGTTCAGTATGTCAGTTGAGAACTCGGGTAAGGCCCAATTCATCACCCTGTCGATATCCCGAATGAGAAAGGGCTCAGCAGCCAACGGGTTTACACGCAGCATATCAACAAGCATTTTGACACATATTTTACGCAGCTCTAAAAGTAAGCAAGTTCAAAATCTTAATCACAAAACCTCACCTACTAACCGAAAGTTCCTAATGAACAGTCGATTGACTAACTAATGGTTCCCATTACTGGGAACCACAAATAATAATGGCCTACTAACAAGTGGTTCAAAAGAAGCAAATTAAGCAATATCAACTTTGAGAATAAATCGTGATTGCAAGTTCCAAATTTCCATTTACTCAATGTCCTTCCACGCATAAATATCAAAGCATCCACCAATATAGTTAAATACCACTGATCAGATGTTTGAGGTAACTGAGTGTGAAAGATATTGGTTGATCAAACTTCATATATAGCTAACTTACAACATTACCTGAAACAGGTTCAGTTGACGCGTTTATAACAGTAGGAATAAAATATTCCATATATCGTGTCTGATGCGGTTGGCCTGAAATTAAGGAAACATCCCCGTAGTACGCACAGCCACCAATGCACATTGTATACTTAATCAGGTAGCCCAATTTGGAGAATCAAAAAGTCAACCCATCGGTACATAGGGACAAATCCATATAGTGTTTGAACAAGCACGAAATTACCGATTGCGTGCCAAAGTCTTTCTAACAAAGAGACCGCAGAGACTCTAAGGTCGCCCAAACAACCGTTAGGGAGACGAGGTGCAGTCGCAACAACAGTAATGGTGGGTAGTTCTTCTAGCCACAAGTGCGGCTGCGTAGTGATGAAACTTCCAAGACATCGCTGCAACGAATTTATGAGAAGCCGGGACTTCGGTTGACCGGCATCCAGTTTCCCGGAGGAGGAGGAGCTATTGCACATGAAATAGGGTTGTATGCAGACGTCGAAAATAACCTTTATGGTCTCCAATTCCACTGTTGATTGAAGAGCTAGCATTTCCACCCAGGGCTGTTCTCGCATGGATTCCGATGCTAGCGGGCTGACCAAATGTGTTGGCAAATTGTGATACTTAAAGGGCCTATGCAAAAAAGTGAAGAACTCGGTAGCGAAATGCCAAGCGAATACAGTTTAGAGAATGGAAAACGAATAAAATGAATATTCACCCAAGTGTCAACTCTAGGTAGGAGAATGAGATGATATACTTGGGATTTAGATCTAATAAATGCAGCGAAAATAATCCAACAAATGTTCATTACTCCAGAGTATTGGTAAATGGCATACCTGTTGGTTCCATGAAGCCCAGGATAAGCAGGCCATGAGTGAGACAGAAGGAATATGAAGAAGAGTTCGTGCAGAAAATCACTTGTTTCTGTAAGCTCCAGTCCTACACATGTGGCGCAGATACAATTGAGGCGTGGTTGGTGCTTTGGTGTAAGAAGCGCCTCCCAGTCAGAGGGCCGCAGCTGTTGCAAAATACTCGTAAAGGCACTTGCAAGACATCCCTAATTTAAACAATAAGTAGAAAAGGCTTAGACCAGATTCTGTTCATTTACTCACATGAAAAACATGCGCATTAGTATGAGGACCTCATGAAATTGTAATTAAGTAGTGATGAGGCACGTTAAAGGTTAACAGTATTGAAAATAGTTGGAACCACGTAAAACTACCAATCAACCCACCAAAACCGGTTGGAGGTAGAGGAAACGAGACTTGACAGGGGATTGAGCAGCAAGCAGAGTCTGTCCAACGGTGGAAGATAGCTCCGATGATGCTGGCCTCGAATTCGGTGCAGAAGAGGCTGTTCTTTGAAGAGATATCAGAATGCGACCGTATTCTCGCATAACCCATCTCAAAAGGCCTTGCTGAACAAATTGGCAGTGGAACTCGGGAGCGCCAGAGGCAGAGTCGGCCAATTCATCATGTGAGGAGACAATCACCGTCTCCACAAAACGCTCCATGAAGAGTGTGAGGATATTGCAGAAGTATGTCATCATGGAGTTTGTCTCTGATCTACATGGCTCCAAAGTCTAAATAAAGCGTCAAACAATTAACACTCAATCAAGAAGCATAAATGTTAACACACCTTCGATATCGAGAAAGATTACAAACATTGCACCTTTTGGATCTAGAAAGCTTAAATGTGTGAACCTTTACACAAAAACTGACTTTGGGAAATCGCAACATAAGGATGCAAAAGAAGAACAAATACACAAAAGGAGTAGTGAACCTGCGGGATCGTAACATAGGAACACCTTGGAGTTAATGTGACTAGTGCTCTAATACCAAGCTACCAACAATGGCTAGCTTAATTTCCACTCAAAGGAAGTCGCCCGGTCAACAGCTGTCTCAGGGCCAATTCGCTAGGCTTTTGCTCAAGTTGACGAACCAATTATTTTAACGCATGAAGTGAAAATCATGCATAAAAAGCTGTCAACAATGATGTATAAAGACTGCATCAAAAGATTTGACAAGTCGAAGTAAAATAGTAATGGTTATAAGCGATGATAAAAGGGTGAAAATAGGGAGATTCTCACTATATCAAGATTTGTACTAAATAATTTTTTGAGATTGGTGATGATAGGTGGCACAAGAATTTTCCGACACTCCGTATCCTCCATGAGAACAGAGCGAAGACAGCCGCTGAGTATGTTGTGATTTGGCAAATTGGGGCATTGGATGGTGCACTGCACTAGGCGCTCCAGGTAGTTCGTCAGACTCCGTTGGGAGTAGACGAGGGCCAAGGGATCTATAGTCTCCGAGATATGCTTGAAAATGTGACTCTAGATGGAAGTCGAAGAAACCAGAAGAATTATTAGTGGCTGATAATTTAAATAAACGTATTTATACGCATTGCCCTTTACCCACTATTGAAATTGTTAGTCCTACCCAACACAAGGCACAAAATAATAGAACGAATGAGCGTCTACAAGAAGAGTTCAATAAATACTATTTGCATTACGTAAGTCCTGCTTCAGTTTTCACAACGAAGTCGTTTACTAACGAAGGGATGACAATGGTATGAGGCTAAAAGCAGACTACCCAGGCCATTGACACTGTAGAGGTTCGCAAAAATCTCACATCGTATTTTAGTCTGAGATAAGGTACCTTAAGTAATCGTTTGTAATTGGTAATACAAGTTTTCTTCTGGAAAAATAAAATACTCCAAAGCAGTGGTAGAAATAAGCCCAATGGTGGGATTTAGTTAAGCAATCAGCATACCTTTAAAAGCTGGTCACTGCCCACTACTGCTACGTCGAGAATAACGTCAAAGAAGTTATCGACAGCAGCGGTGAATCGCTTTTCAGCTTCTTCGAGCATGCCGGGATTCTCCGTTTTCAATCTCTTAACCTCTAATTCCTTGAGAAAGCCAAGCAAACATCGATGCATAATACTACTGGATGCAGACTAAATAAACTTAGTAGTGTCTTGTGCAACAAAACTACTAGAAATACCTAATTACGAGACCTCCGAAACTATAAAACACTTAGTCATGGTTTAAAAAATGATCCGAACTCGCACAGGGTTTGGTTCGTTCCATTTTACATCTTACCAGTGTTTTTGGAGTGATTTTTATCTCAAATATGGATGCAGTCTCTCGGGCTGATAGATTGGGAGGCCGACTATAGACACCAGATGAAATCAAACATGATAAAAGTAGAGTTACTGTGGCACCAAACCCAAACATACCCGTGACTTTGATATGAATTTAAAGGCCCAAGCAAAGACTGTGCAAATTTTGCTGACATCGATGAGGCCGCCCTCCGTGACAGGTGTCGTTGAATTGACCCGTGAAGGCACACACCGCGTGAGAAGATCGATAAATACTTGAAGGTAATTGAGGTGAACGCCTGAGTAGATGAATATAGAGCTTTGTAAGTACCTCTCCAACAATTCCGACGCGGCAGTGTTGTTATTCATCTCCCTGTAGAGACGCGCCAACAAGGCAACGGTGAAACGATGCAGCTCTTGCACATGAATGCTGGATTCGGCCGCATCGCTTATGGAAAGAATTTGTAGCAGACAGTCAATCAGTTGAATGCGAAACTACAATGAACGAAACGTAAAGTGAAGCCTACGTTTTGACTATTGTGAACTAACTTCCACCATGAGAGTAAAATGAAAGCAGACTACCTAATCAGAGTACTTTGCTCTGTTCTTCAGTGCTGTAGTTTGACGGACACAAAGGCAAAAGGGAGTAAATAACAATTTGCCTTGGGCTAGAGTGGTCGTTTTGCATTGAATGAGGTAATTCAATTGTGGAAGGAATATGTAAACCGTCAAATAAGCGAAATTAAGATGATTTTAAGCAGACTAACGAGCATCTAGACAAATTGATTAGATGGGCGGCAAATAATGGTCATAAAATGAATTCAAGCATTTAACAAGCTCCTCCGAATTGCCAGCCAGATGAAAATGCTTTGATATTAGAATTGCAAGGGCAAGTAAATCTTGATTAAGACAGAATAATATGCGCCAAATAGACGAAATGCAAAACGCACAAAAGGTGTGTTGCAAATACTGCTAACTTGGTTTGCTTAGGATGAAAGAAAACAAGAGGAATTGATGCAAATCCACTTGCCTTTTTTAATTCATTCTCCTTTTCCGCATGAGATATTAGAAGTTTCAAACACAAAACAACGTCGTCCATGTTCTCTCGCCATGAAAGAATTTTTGCCAAATGCTCTGCAAAGATTAAACACACTCATCATTCCTCCAAACTACTAACGTCACATACAAAACTTACAAGGAATTATTGCCACGAGCGTGTGGAAGAAAAAATTGTATAATACTGCCTACTGAAGATAAGGAAAGTGATAGAACATATCAAAAATGGGAATAATTAAGGTCAGCGAAAGGGAATTCAGAAGGAATGCAAGAAATTTTTACGATCAAAAGTAGTCTAGTTATTCGATGTCTTCAGTAACGGATATATTCAGGAAACCAGATAGCTCATCTTAAGCAGTTGGGAGAATTTACTCACAATTTTAGGCCATAGGATTCGATTTAAGCTTAGAAAACGAACGCATTTATTTGCGAATTGATCCGTGAATTAGCTCTGACGCCACGCTGCGTCCGGATGTCCAAATCGTGGACTGAGCGAGACGAGATGAGGGACCAGGATAACCGTAGCACTCATGGCTTGCATAAAATCTAGGTCAAAGTGCAGACAGTGCCATCCTTTTGATAATAACGCGACTCAAATTACACGGTAAGACAGCCATTGCATTTTGGAAGTCAGGATGTATGGGTGAGCATCAGAAAAGAATGCCCGATTTGACTGCTGCGAACCCAGTATAGCATACACTGTGGATTCAGTAGAAATCAGGTGTTTTCATCAGTTGTAACAACCAAAAATCAGCATGAAAATTACCACAAAAAGCGTTTTAAAATAGGACAAGATAGAAAAACTACTGTTGACGAGAATGTCAATTTCGACAATACAAAAGTAAACGACATCTGCCAAGGCAGTCACTGGGGAATTCAAAACTGAACGAATTATCTTCGAAAGAAATTTAGAAATCGAGAGCAGATGTCCTGATATGATCGGCTCATCATTGTTGGCTGGAGACTCAGGAGAATGCGTAGGGGAAAAACACGATTTTGTATAGTCTTTTGGAAGGTGAGATCTTTGGCCTCGTTAAGCGACTACTTCTAAGGGCGTACCGATTAATTTCTTGGTAGTGAGATAACGATGATAATCGCCAAACACATGCGCGGAATGCGATGGCGACGGAGATGGGATCATTGTGTTATTTCGAGTTGTGAAAAAAAACAAACAATCCCAAAAAGATGCTAACGAAACTGATACAAATAAGTGGAGTGTAAAATGATACGAAATCTCAAAAGATAGAATCCGTCAGAGAAGGCTGACTGCATTTAAGCCAATGCACCAGGGTTAAAGCTTCTCTATGACAATAAGAAAAACAACAAAATTAGATGAGGTAGACAACTGGATCCCGAAAACATTCTTGCACAAAAACTAGAAGACACGCGAATCGAGATGAACAATGACTTCCACTGGAGAATGCTACAGTTACGTAAACAGTAACATCCAAAACCTAATTCAACACTAGCGTGCTTAAGCAAAGAAAATGTCGCACTTGAGATAGTAGATGTGGAAAGCCCCAAAGTATTTGCTTGAACAATACTGGGACGCGTTTGGGGCTGGAAAAAAATAGCACAGGGAATGGAGCAATAACCAATGTTCCTCTCGGGTGCCGAATAAACGTACAAATACATTTACTTTTTGCAATAACTTCAAAAAAACGCCCCGATGTAAAGGAACAGGGCTCCTATCAAGTATAAAATAACCCTGACTGTGAAGCCCCACCTCAAAAACCGAAATAAAAGTAAGATTAGCTGACATACAACACTAGGGAGACGTAGTTGAGGCCTCATTTGAGAGGTAGGCAAAGAACTCCTGACCAGGTGACCTAGTGTCAGTAAATTTCACGGACAGTGCATAATTCCTATATGAAACGGGGGTAAAAGTGAACGCGAATGCGTAACTTGGAAGATGCGATGCATTGACCTGTTTATAAAAAGTTAGCCATAGAGCAACTGTCGCCACCAGCCATAAAGATAAATAACCCTCCAATCCGGTGCAAAACAGTCTAGGAATGAAACTTATTATTATTCGATTCCAGGCCAAGAGTACCTGTAAAGATTCATGAAATTTGGAGACTGTTTACAAATGTAAGCAAACACCCCATAAATAAAATACTAAAGTGGAGCGCATTTTAACCCACTTTGTACTATTTAGTTGATTACGTTTACTAAGGATTTCACTTCAAGAGAAAACAAGTAAATCAAGAGATGCTCATATGTCAATTGCAGTTGATGTAGACTTGAGTTAAGTGACTGTATAGGACCCAAAGTGCAGTAAAGATTTCTCCCCAGAAGAAGTTTGGCAAGGAAGCAATAAAATGTAAACCAGCATTGCCAAAATTAGAAGACCAATGACAGCGGAGGAGAGCATCAACGAATGATGAGACAGGTTTAAGGGGATGCTCTATTAAGCATCCTGCGTTTACCGCAAGCACCCCTTAAGTAAAAATGACCTGGACCCACAGTAGCAATATGCTCAAATTATCTATAACCAAATTTAAAAATTAGTGAGAATTTTGTTAATTAGGCAGTGGGCAGGTCTGCAGGAGTTTGGGTAACGGAAGGACACTTCGACGTAGAGTAATCAGTAACAATTGTAGGCTTGAAACTTTTTACAATTCTTATCAGGCAAATCTATATACTTCAACGAAAAAAATCACATGTGAAGTCAAAACCACTAAACGAGTTTGACAATTAAATATTCGGCTGAAACAAGTATCATATGTATGAAAGAAGGCTCACCATCAGTGGTGTACTGATTACTTGATAGCAAAGTATTGACATTCAGGGTATCCGGCTGTCTATTTGTCCGCCCAGAAAGACTGTTTGCCACTGAGTTTAAGAGAGAGGCAGCCATTGAGCCGTGAGGAAGACCGTTCTCGCTTCTCCCCAACCCAGAACTCTTGGTACCCCCACTACTCCCCGAACTGTTGATACTGCCAGGCCCCACGAAGGCTATGGCCTCCTTGCTCAGGTACTTGCATTCAGAAATGTCTTGCTCATCCATCTACATTTGAACAACCAAGGCATTAAGTATAGGTAGACCAGCTGAAGTTAATATCATTAAACATGTCAATTTTGACCGTACTTTTTGAAACAAATCGAAATAGATTGTTTCGACTTACAAGTTCTGCAGCTTTAAATGAGAGTGGAGGACGCAACAAACGACGATGCTTAACAGATGTGGAAGAACTAAAATGTTCTGCATGGAGCCGATCAATATAGAACTTTACAAGAATGTAATCCTTCCATGATCAACGTGGTCGCCAAAGCACACTCGGTCCTGGATCAATCTGTCCATTACCAATAATTCTTCGGATGAACTAGCACAATCGAAACACTTTCCTATTCTTTACTTTGCATTGCATTGGCATCAAATCAGCCTTACAATTGGTCATTTGGGTGAGTCCCCAACATGACTGATGGATAAAATTGAAATTCCCCTAGACCCCAAATTTGTGCTGGATGAACGGCGAGCAGTCCACCAATTTTGAAATATGCTTAAAGCATCAAAGCGAGTACATCTTGAGCCCATTATACACAACAATACTTTGATACCTTGTCTAAGCCAAGAACAGTCGAGGAGCTGTGTTGTAAACACCGTCAGCACGTTCCGGAAACCGAGCCACATAAAAAAAATGCTCGATATGCTATATAGCCACGTATACAGTCTTAGGGGAACCAAACGCACATTCATATGGAAGGTAAACATTGGTTGGGTTCTAGTCGTACAACGTCTTCGAAATTGCATCGACACGGACACAACTAGCAATAAAATCTCAGAACGGCAAATATGTCTGTGAATCATGGGATAAGAGTCCACAAAAAACTCACCTTGTGTATAAAGAGCGAGTAGTCTCCATCTTTTGTAAAGGTGTGCTCATCTGGTGACCCCAAGGGCAGAAAAGCCACACCAAGCACCTTATCCCGTGGCTCTAGAAAGGACACAATTATAAATTACCACAACGGCATCGAAGGTCTTGCCCGGAGTATTCAAGTCTGCAAATCATCATCAATGGATCAATATAAACCAAAAATTTGCGCTAAAAGAATTTGTCTTGCCCACATCTTGGATTCCAGGAATCGCTTTAAGGAAGAAGTAGCAAGACAAACTTATTTGATTTGAGTTATACGTTATTTCTAGTGCACCGAAATAAAAAAAAAACAATATGCGTTTTGGGAATTGGTTGAAACTTGTCAAAAACTTAGCCGTTCAAACATAGGGGAATGGTGAACAGATCTCAGAGAGATGTCATAAGGCCAAAAAAATATAACTAGGCGACTGAGGACATACTAACTAGAAACATTTGACGAGGTAAATAATAAACTTTTAAAACTATGGAAGCTTGTACAGCTCGAACGGACAGCACAAAGAACTTTCTCCACTGTGTTAGTACAGGCAGTAGAACTCGTTGTAACCCATTAGATGGAAATCAAGACGTGAAACGAGCGGGAACAGAAGTTGCCTACCGAAGTCCAGGTTTTTTTTGTCGTCTTGACGAAGAAAGGAGTGAGGGCTCGGTGAACGGAGCCATCGAAGCTGACCAGATCTGTTGAGGCTTCCACCTATCACCGCTGTAGGGAAATGTTTTCTTGAAGAGTTAACCAATCATTTATCCTTGGAACTTTAGCGAGGTTGTGATGTGAAGCATGCTCACTAGGATAACCCGCTTACTAGGTTAAGTAATTTTTACATGCGAAAGGATACAATACATATTGTCAAGATCTGACTTGTTGAAAACTGTAGTTATAGAGGTTTTTGTAGGATGAAACCCAGCATCACATAGCATACATCATTCTCAAAAACGAAGAACCGGAACATATGTCAGAGATTTACATAGAGTATTTCTCCTGATGGAGGTGAATTTCCTTCCACACTTATTATAGATGAACGGCTCCAATCGTTTGCCGGTGAAGGCGACAATTAGACCACTAGAACGTTCAACGGCCACCATGGGATAGATAGCCTAGCCAATTATGCAACACTAGCATTGAATGACGAAATCTAGTGTATCGAAACCCGAAAGTTGAAATTACGGTGCTTTTGACCTATTTAACACTACTCCTACGGTGTACCACACATGCGGTTTCGCCCAGATTATCAGTGTAAGCCATGCAACATCGCAACAGCCGAATGAGCAGGTAACAGTGCATGCCTCATACCAGAATCATAAAGGGGCTTGGGATCTCGTCCGAAGGATGGACTAGGGGACCTAAGCCAGCGAAAACGACCGCTTTTCGTGAAGCCTCCTGATAGAGGAGAACACGAAGGATTATCAGACTCAAATGACCTCCTGCGGAAAAAAATATGCTGACGAGTAATAGCTACAGTTAAAAAAACTAATGTCATTAATGTGATTAATCTCATTCTAGCCTTCTGTGAAGAGAACCTGTAGATTTTACGGTTTGTTAAATAATTACTTGCCCTGAATAGTGGAGTATACAGTTCGAAAAGAAATACAGCGATCTAAAAAACGAAAGTATAATGGACAACGCAAGTGCCGTGCTAGACCCGAAACATGGCCCTCGGGATTGGAGAGCTCGGAACGGCAGATAATCTGATACAAAATGTAAAAAGTAGAAACCACTTTAGCAGGGAATAAAGAGGGAAGGTTACCGCAGAGTTTGTGAATGTGCACAAAGTCTTTACCGAGCGAAATTGGATGCATATGAGAATTAATAATTAGAATTTCAAAAGCGTGATTAATAAATGTTATCCAAGATTAGTGTGTTCACGTTTGATATGAATAACAAATGAAGCATTATAAATGGATCCCTAGATGCGGCGCACATGTGTGAGGGGAGTGTCGATGCAGCCAACTGAGAATAGAAAACACCACTTGTGATGCGCAAGATAAGTCAAATGACAACGAATGGCGTATGTCAAAAGCGTAAATTGACGATGTGGATGTGTGAGTAAACCAGAGAAGTGGCCCGGACTATGGTAATCGCATAATGCTTTGCCATGACTTTCACATTCCACGAAAGAACTTCGGTTCTTGAACCACTGGCTGCTTCAAACCGAAACTGAGGAATGGAGTTAAGCAAACAGATGGTGAGACTGTAAGTCCAATCACAAACCTAATAACGGGATTTTCTTTGAATGAGAACTGCTACGAGGAAAAGCATAAGCGCGTTTAGTGAAAAGAAATTTATAGCAAGCAAGAGTCAGTAATGTGATCACAAATTAAGCACAATAAAACCGATTCAATGTGCATATACGCCTCCATCAATTACTTATCCGTGGGAGACAAAATAGTCGAATAGATAAATAGCCGGAAAAGTTACTAGTTCCATGCCAAAAATGGATGACATTTTTAGGTATTTTAGCTTTTAAACATACGAAACCAACTGCCCCATAAACAAAAAGCACTACTTTTCAAGATGTCCATTAGTTTGAAGATAGATGGGAGCCAGGCATCGCGAATGAATTTATAATCAAAGAAATTTTTAAAAAAGACTACGAACTTTGGCCTTGAGATGGACCGGGAAGCGCGGCTGCTTTCGATTTTATTGTTAACCAAGCGGTTCTCATGGCACTAACAATGTTAATTAAGTGTTAGATCAGACCAACGGCAGTCTACATAACACTGCTGCAGAATTTAGCTTTGAAAAGCAAAGGAAAAAAGAGACCAACATTGAAATGGAGGACAATGAGTAAAACCATAAATGAAGCAAATTTTACAAGATTAGCAGTCGTACTATTATTACAGACGTAAGAGAACTAGAAGACCAAGAGACAAGAACCGTACCAAAATTTCAAATTATCAATACGCAATGATAATAGTGCAGATATTTAAGCCTGTTATAGATTTTAAAAACGAAGAGCACATTCATCGCCTCAACGGGATTGAGTTTGACAGCATGGTGCATTTGTTAGTTGATGCTAAAGGTCGTCGGAGGTCGGACATTAAAAAGTGAAGATAGAAGTAATAACAATGAGCGATGAAGGACAAAGTAGTCACAACTAGTAATCACAGGACTATAGAACCCAGCTAACAATCAGTAAGCAAAAACCAAAAATTCCTCAATCTCTGAGATTTAATTGACATATGAAAATCAAATAAATAACATTTGACATAAAGTAGGGAGAAGTAAGCGTTTGCGGCGTGAAAACTGCAAACATTAAGCCATCAGAAGAAAATACTAAAATAAAGATTCCTGCCATTAAAGGGTTTTGGCAGAGGAAGATGAACAGAAGTACTGATTCAGGTATCAAGAGAGACATTAAGTAAAAGCGTAAACAGACGGATCGTAAACAGTGAATGACAGGTGTACTCAATCCGAATCGCAAGGATCAGATTATACAAGAAGTAGTGGACGAAGCATGAGCATAAGCAGTTTGTTAAGACGTTATAATGCTCACCACCGACGCACTTATTGAATAAAAGGAGTGAACTCGACAATCCATAAGGTGTTGGATAGTTCAAACATGCGTTACCTACACAAAAGAAGTACGGTTGAAAACTGAGGCAACAAAGTTGCGGACAGAACACTCATAAAATCAAGCCGTTGGACTGATTTAGCCGCAGAACTGCCTCAACAATAGCGGATTTTTCAAATGTACAAAGAACCCACTCAAAAGTTCACTACAATAATGTTAGAACAGCAGCAACACTAGACCGTTGGAACTATTCAAACTTTGATATGATTAGCCCAAATGGTGCTGAAATAACTTTGTACATTAAGGGATTGGCGTTAATTTCGTAGAAAAATAATAGCAACATCCCTTATGCGATATAAATGGGACAATACAAAGTTAACACAGTAGTGACGAAGATAGAGCAAATATGGCGATCACTAACATAAAGACTTGAGCCAAACCTACAAACTTTGAGCAACATAATATGGTCAAATATCAAAACCATGTCATCCAAAAAACGCCACTAACTGAAGTTAGGAAAAGAAACACTAGAAATAGCACGATTAAATTTCAGTACAATGGCAAGGCAGTGTAAAAACAACACAGCCGACAAACCTGATGCTGTCGAGCGATGTCGAATGACAAAGCGCAGGTGAGCTGATGTGGGAGCACTTCGTGAAAAGGTTGCAGAGTCTCCAGAGGATCTTGTAGATGAGGAGGACGATGTGACAGGCTCAATGTGATCTTCGGCTACTGTAGAACCATTAAGTAAATTTTCCAACTGTGAAAAATGATCGTCAGAGCATGGCATATTGGAGGGACTCATGAACCAAGGGATGGCGACGCGAAAAAGTTCGTTCCACCGTGGCTGGCTCCGGGACGCTGATATACTTGAAACGTATTGAGTATCTCCGGCACTTTCTATCCACGGAAGCTAAGGGAAAAAATGCCCAACAGGTCTTGATGAGAAGAACTTGAAGTCCGGGCCCCAATTTTGACAGATTCGCAACACCAAACTAAAGTATTTCAGGATTCAAAATAAATGCATTTATTGCACTGACTATGCAAGTAACGACAATCACCCCTGCAAAAATAAATCCGTCACTGGAAATGGATAAAAATACTTACAGCTCGACCATGAGAATCTCGGAGACTAGCCTCAACTTCAACATTATATTCTTTGCGCGTCGTTGTCTTGTCAAATGAAGCCGATTTGATTGTGACAAAAAAATCGTTTCGGATAGTTTCTGAAGTGCTGAAGTTGCCTTCAGAAATCCCATAGGGACGCGCAATGATGGCACCCGGATACTCCCGGCGTACAAGCTGTAAAAAAGCGCCAAAAACAAACCAACAAGATCAAGATGTGTAAAAGGTTATTAATTCTTGTAAGTTCCACTGCATAGATGAAAGAAAATGGAAAAGGCAAAACTCATAAAAGTATCGACACATCCGCATACATGGTATGATTGAAGATTTAAAGTTTTCACACTTTTTATTTCAACATCCAAATCTTCCGATGCATCACCGCCCGTGGCACTCGTTTGAGAAACTGGATAGGAAGGAGGTAGTACGGATCCAACAGGAGCGCCCTCAGCTGGTTTTGAAATGCTAGCAGAAGGTAGCATGTCCCAAACAGAGCTCCGAGTCTCACTAGCAAGCTTATTCAATACATCAGAATGGCACAGTTCAGAGGAACTGAAGTGGTAAAAAACAAACTGTTAGCATTGCAAAGGAAAAACATAAGAACAAGGAACATGCAAACCAAATGTTTCTTTCAAACAAAATCGAATGGGTAAAAGACTTGCTTTCGAAGCGGCACGGTCCTGGATGAGCAAACCAACGACCTTCTAGGTTGTCGCTCAAGGGAACGCGGAGTGTGAAAAGGAAGCAGTATAGACAAAATATCCTTCGTTATATCCATGCAACCAATTGCCAACGGTCGCCGAAACCTTTCATTTTCGCCGACTGCTAGATGAACATCAGTTTGCGTGCTTTTCCCCCTTCTAGAAGTGGCGGAGCCAACTCTATCTACCATGAAAACCAGCAGAATTCGCGTATCGGATGGGCTAAAGGGTTTCAACTCCTGCAAGTAAGGAGTTTAAGGTTAAATAATAAAACTAACCGAAAAGATGACTGATCTCTTTGGTTCACGACGGTTGCCTTCAAGTATAGCATTTTCAGAGATCCGACAAAAATCACCAAACTGAAGCGCCGACGGTGAGATTGAACTTAAGGCAGCGCCATCATCATTTCCTTTTAGAAATTCCATAAGATGGTTGTGGAGATTTATAAGGTGGGTATCTTGATCAGACCCACTGCCAGTCGATGAATCCGGCAAACGCATGGATTGAGAGGCAAGAAATAGCGTCAGCGTATTTACTGAGCACCTGCCCAGTTCGATACAAATATTAAAAAGATCTCCTCGCGGTCTCTAAATGGGTTTAGAGGTACGCAGAGATAAACCTCTCTCTCTTTGGATTCTTTTTCATTTTGTATATACTTCTCGTACAGCTGAACACTTATGTAACTCAATGGATTCGACAGACGTATTTGAAGTGGAAATCCAATGTACCTAAATGTAAGAGGTAAAAGACTGACTACCTCTCACAGAGGGACAGAAAATCGAGAGCATCGCATTTGTGCCTTTTCGAGTCAGCTTGATTAAAAGAGTGCTTCATTTTATCGCTGCAACCAGCCATTTCTTGCAAGTAAATAGTCGCTTTATGAAAGACTCGTCTGTCACCAACCTAGGCAATTTATCAATATCAAAACCATACCGTGAACATTTGCTGGGCCATGGGTAAAAAGGACATAATCTCAGCATATATTTCAGGATACTCTTCATCTGAAGGTCTTTCTGTACAGGAAACAGGGAATACTCCACAAATCGTAGAGGATCCACACTTAAAACCATAGTACCACTGGGAAGATGGTGTACAGTTTAAACCATCACTGATCTGGTCAACATAAACCCAATCGCCCAAAGAAATAGAAAAATTCTTCGAAATTGCTGGATCAGTAAACTTTGATATAACTTAAAAATAGGAAAATGAAAAAAACAAACCTCTTCTCCACTTGACTGCGTCCGAGACTGGAGACCATACCATGACAAAACGAACGTCAACAGAGAGATTAAAATATGCAAGGCTAAGTAGGTACTAATATCTGACCTTAAACACCGATGAAAATCAAGACGAATAAATCCCATTATTCATTGTTAAGCATTATAAGCCATCTTCTATAATAGTTAGTAGCTAATCACTTCCACTAATATCGCTATGCATAAGGAAGGTTTGGTGTTAGTGCAAATGTCAACTTCAAGTTATAAAGTACATAGAAATTGACATTCACAAAAAAATTCTATTTTTCATTTTGCAACGAAAGCATGAGTTCCGTATATTTAGTGCTACATTGATATTCATCCAACTCTTATTCGCAGAACACATGCATTCAATCAACTAAGCAATTCTACCTAGTTGAAAGTCGCGGAGTGCTACAGAAAACTAGTTAGGAATTTATCGCTCTGTTCCCAAAGGTATCTGTAGCGTTTTGAGGTTTTACCAAAGGGTAGTAGAAGGCATAAGTGAGGTTGAATATATGTATCACGAAGACCACAGGGGAA